AAATTTCAGAAAAAAATTCAATCGGGAAGGTCATCAAATGATTTTTGAAAGAAAACTGGTCCGGAATATACATATAAAACGCAGTTATCTTTCAAAAATCATTTAACGACCTTCCCAATTGAATATTTTTTCTAAAATCGGGTATGGGTGAACTAGACTGGTTTGATAACTATTCAAGTCTGGTTTGATCTGGTCTGGTCTGGTCTGGTCTAGGACGAATTACACTCCAAGTAAAAACATCCTAAGTGTAGTATTTTTTATCTCTCACGTAGTATAATATATGATGAATTAATACTTTCTCTATTTCAAATAATGATTCATTCTAATTTTGTTGAGGCTGACATTATAGGGATTTGAGTGGAGGCATGTGCACGATAGGCTAATTAATAGTGGGGGTTGTTTACAAAATTGCCCTTTAATGAAAATAATAAATGGAAAAGCATTAATGTCATTTAATATCTTCCTTTTAAACAGCCGAGACATGAGGTATAGGTGGCTTTGTGATGTTCGTTTGATTAATCACATGAAAAGTCAAGATTTGTTCTCTCTTCTCTCCGGAAGAGAGAACAGAGATATATATATCTGTTTCACCGGAAGTGTCATATATATATATATATATATATATATATATATATATATATATATACACACACACACTCATTTCACTACAGAATCATTGACTTTGTTTTTCACTCCTTCACAATTGTTGGACCGGTAAGGTACAAATATTAATAATTTTGAGACCTAGATGCAAAGAGGGGTATCTAGTGATGGGCCAACCTTGGCCCTTGTCATGCTGTTAAATTTCCACATCGGAAACTTGTTAAGGAATAAAGTGCTATATTAAGATATGGATTACCCCTCCTATCATGTTGACCTTTTAGGATGGAATCCCAGATCAAAACACATGCCCTTATTTTAAAAATGTCTATATTTTAAGGTAAAAATTTTGTATCAATTTTTTCCTTAAATATTCTTTGTATCAGTTCAATATCAACCAATGTCTTGACTCCGCCTGAAGGCAATATCACTTCAAACAAATTCAGTTTACCCTTATGTTTTTCAATTATTTATCTAATGAACTAATGCATGTTGGGCACCGAATTGTGTCCTTGTTTGACTTTTTTCAGCCAAAGTGGAATGACTTTGACCTCAACAAGCACGTGAATAATGTCAAGTATATCGGATGGATTCTCGAAGTAATGTTACATGTCTTTTTAGTTACATCAATTCAACTTTAACATTTGTTAATGTCCGAGTTTAACTTTCGTTTTTGTGGGAAGAAACTACCATGGATTGGGACGTTATACAGGAGGAAAACTAAACATGTCCGAGTTTAACTATTGGCCCAGTTCATTGGGGTTATTAGTAAAGATGATTACAAAATATTACGGAGTATATATGACAATAATGAAGTATAGGCACTGTATTTTAGGGATTAAGATTTTGTCATATATACTCCCTCCGTTCTCTAATAACAGCTTCATATTCCTTTTTGGGATGCTATAAATATTTGTCTTTCTTTCCCTTTTTCAACAAGTTTTTAAAATCAAAATACATTTATATCCTCACTTTTATCATCCCTGTCTCTTTTTATTTTGGGGTAATTTGAGTTTGCACCCCGTATTATTGTCTAAATTGGACTTTGCAACCCATTTTTAAAAATCTTTGTTTTCGCACCCCAACCCCATATGAAAAGACAAAAATGCCCCTCCATTAACAATTCTGTTGGCCTTCCACATATTCCTGATTGAGAGCATTTTGGTCTTTTCATATGGGGTTGGGGTGAAAAAACAAAGATTTTTAAAAATGGGGTGCAAAGTCCAATTTAAACCATAATACAGAGTGCAAACTCAAATTATCCTTTTTTTACATACTTCATGCTACTTTCTGTTTCTACTTCATCAGTACTTTACTTTTCTTAATATGTTCTTCTTATAAATTTTTCATATATAATACGGAGCATTTTGGTCTTTTCATATGGGGTTGGGGTGAAAAAACAAAAATTTTTAAAAATGGAGTGCAAAGTCCAATTTAGACAATAATACGGGGTGCAAACTCAAATTATCCCTTTTTTTACATACTTCATACTACTTTCTTTTTCTGCTTCATCATTACTTTACTTTTCTTAATATGTTCTTCTTATAAATTTTTCATTTACCCAACACGATCTCTCTATACTACTCGGTCTACCACTCTACCCTACTTTATTGCTTCTTAAAAATCACATGAGAAGTATTTAAACATGAGAACGGAGGGAGTACTTATCCATGAGAAGTGTAGAAGTAATATTCACATTATTTTACATTTTAATTCATTAATATGATACAATAAAAATCCAGCATTCATTTCCTAGCACATTACCCTAATTATCTATTACTAAGTAATTACTAGTCTCTTCCTTTCTTAAAAAACCTCACATTTTCCTTTTCTGTACGTTCCTGGATGCCGTTCTCTTTTGTCATTTGGTAAATATATAAATCATTACTAGTATCAATTTACTTTACTACTCTGAAAGTAAAAAAAATTGTATATGGTTTTGAGCGGTGCCAAATACCGCCAGAAAGCTAAACTGTATATGTATTTGGAGATGCTGAAGTAGATACATGGCATCCAGGGTGTAGGAATTTGGCACCCTATTTTCACCCATTTGCCTTGCTGGAACAAAGATGGCGGAAGATTAAAGGATCCGGCATCTAGGGTTGTAAAAGAATCAAATAATTTGTGCTCGATTCGCGATTCGAATTCGTATAAGACGATTCGAATTCGGAAAATTCAAATACAAATAAGAATATCAGTGTATTCGATTCGAATATTAATCAAATATATTCGATTAATAATAATGGTAATATTAATGTCAATATTAATAATGGTAGTAGTAATAACACTATAATAATTTTTAAAAGATAGCAATGCCCTAAAAGTGTAACCCATATATACACTTTTGCATAGAAATTCCAAACCTATTTGTAATAAATCAGAATATAAATAAAAATACAAATCAATTTTTTTGGTTCAAACGTCTTTCAAATAATTATGTATTCGATTTGAAGAATAAAATTAGAGTTGTTTGACTTTGATATATACAATTATCAACTTATTTCACACATTATAAGTATAATTTCTAATATGTGTGTGTTAGTGTTTATTTAAAAAAGTTTGAAATAGATTTATATTTATTAATCATAAAATTAATTCACTTTAGTATATTGTGTACCATCTAAAAATGCATTGATCCACTAAACTTAAATTCAAAAACACATATTAAGTCATAGCATGCATTTACAACATAAAAAATATGGAATATAAAAAAGTTAGTTTAGAGTGATATTTGACTAAAATTTAACTTATGCTCAAATCGATTCGATATTCGTATATGATTCATTAACTATTCGTATTGTTAAACAAATACAAATACAAATCAAAATTAATATTCGAATTCGAATTCGTATTTGAAAAAATTAAACAGATACAAATACAAAATCTCATTATTCGACTCGATTTGGTTCGTATACAACCCTACCGGCATCTCTGCCTTGGTTAAGCAAACAAGGAGGATGCCTGGATGTTTTCCTCCATCACATAACAAAATGAAGGGTAGTTGAAGACATAATTTTCAATCTATGCCATCCATTTGAGTAAGTCACTCTGCCTTATGGCAGATGATCTCAATCCAAGATTAAAAGGGTGGAAGTTGTAGAGATATGGAGAGAGGGTGTGGACTCCAAGAAAAAAGAAAATCTCTTGAAAGAACTTACATAACTAGTATTATTGTATTTTGTCATTTGTGTAGGACATTTTAGCATTTTCTTTTCACTTTCACTTTTGGAATGTATGTTGTGATTATGTGGTTGATAATGTTCATCATTTTGACATCAAGTACAATGGTTTGATTTGCAGAGTGCACCATTAGCATTGTTGGAGAGTCAGGAGATAGTGGGAATGGCATTGGAATACAGGAGGGAATGTGGGAAGGACAGTGTAGTGCAATCTTGTACCTCTCTCCTGCCCAATCTTGACAACATTCAGTGTCACCATTTGCTTCGCCTTCAGACCGGTCCTGAAATCGTCAACGCAACCACTCACTGGAGACCCAAGCCTTCCCCAGACCTCAACCACAGCTTCCCCCATTCCTAGCTTTTAAAACGCTCTCATTTTCTCAAACATGAATTAATATATGGTGCGGAGTACTATGTTATAAATTGTGCGGAATAAAATACACGAACATCTGACCATAAGTAACTTTATTTCTGCTCACACACTCTGATTATTTTTAATAAATACTACCTTCGTCCCAAAATGATTTACAAATTTCACTTTTCTTGGTCAAACAGTTTCATTTTATTTGCTTAATTAGGATGTCAATTTTTAATTATGTTTTAATTTGGAGTTTGCACCTTTGAAGAGATTTTAATGTAGTTTCTGAATATGTAAATTTTAATTATTACAAATTGAGTTAATTATCGATAGGGAGGATTGACTTTTTTATTGGTTGACCAAAAAATATTGACTTTGCAAAATAATTTGGGACGGAGGGAGTAATTTTAATAATCAGAAACTAGCTTAAAAGTTTTACAAAGCCTAATCCAGAAAATTTAATAATCAGGTACTAGTAATTGTTACTCCATCGCCGTACCAGTTTTGGTGCAAAAAAACTCTTACTTTTTTATGTTCCCCGAAACCCCTAAATAAATCTGGCTACATACGTACTAAGAAAAGGTAAAGCAACCTATTGTATGTTATTTTGAAAATAATGACAACCGGTGAGCGTAGCTCAATTGGTAGCGAGAGTGACACAAGAGTTAGGCCCCGAATTCGAATCCCGGCAACTGCGATGAGAGGTTACTATGCTAAAATATGCATATGGTCTCTGCAAGTATCGGGGACAAAGACTCACTCTCTATATATCAGATTGGGATTATAGTCCAATTTACATCCTCCGAACGTACCATCCGGTCGGGTTGGGGGCCCTCAGAGATGGGGTGTCATCTTTTTTTTTTTGAAAATAGTGACACAATATTTTTCTCGTTGAGTATTACAAACATGCTCCCTCCATCGGTCCATCCCGTCAAATTTCCACTCGTCCCACTAAAATTATCTCATATCAAATAACATTTGTATTGTTGTATATACTTTATTCACATCTTATAAATTCAATACCCATCACATATGTATGTTTGGCATATCTAACTAAAAAGATACTAGTACTTTTATTATCTTTTCATTAAATGTTACTCCCTCCGTCCCAAAAAACTTTGACAGTTTTCTTTTTTTAGACATCCCACTAACTTTGTCACTTTCTTTTTTAAGTAAAAAATTTGCGGTTCCAATTAGTTCTCTCTGCTTTGCACAAACCTCAACGACATAGTTTTTTACTTTATTAATCCTCGTGCCGATCAAACTTGGCAAAATTTCAAGGGACGGAAGTAGGGGTGGACTCGGGTCCGGGATGGGTTCGGGTTGGGCCTAGGCCCGGGCGGGCCGGCGGTTCAGAAATGGTGGACCCGGGACCGGCCCGGGTAACCACCGGGTCCGGTCCGAGTCCGGGCCGGGCCCATTATTTTTTTTTTGTTTTCCTCTTCCTAATTAACCCCCCTCCCACCCCAACCCCCCAAACCACCCCAAATGGCCCAAAATACCCAGCCCAACCCGAAAATTTAAAAAAAATTGAAAAAAAAAAATAGGTTTTGGCCCGGCCGGGTCGGGCCTTGTTTTGGGTGACCCGAGCCCGGACCGGAAAACCCACGGGCCGGGTCTACCCGGACCGGTCACTGACCGGGCCACCGGGTCGGGCCGGGCCGGAACAGTACCGGTCCCGGGCCGGTTCCGGGTCGGGCCACCCGGCCCGAGTCCACCCCTAGACGGAAGGAGTAATTTTTAGTAATTGAAATGATCTTAAAAGGAAAATATGGTAGCTGTTGAGTAAAAAACTAACTGTTTGATCTAGTTCTGTTTGGTATACAAGCTATTGGAACTAATATATTAATGCTAAAATCTACATGCTTTTTTTAGATGATACTCACCGTAACATCTCAAAAAAGATCTTTTATTTTTAAAAAGGAAGAAATAATTTAAATACCACAAATTTTAATGTGGTGAAATAAGTACCCCGAACTTGCACATGTAATATATATACTCTGAACTTTATATAAAAAGTTATTTTCGCACCATGATCATATATTTTTTCACAAATGTAATTTTATGGTACTGTTAAGTACATAATTTAAAATACACAAAATATTTACGAGATGCAATTAAAATTAAATTTAGTTTTAGATTCTCCATTAAAGAAAGAAGATGTTAGATTTAGCTTTGCCAGAGTACCGAGATAGATGTTCCTAACAATCGATGACAAATTCCTCTAACAATCGATCATTCATATTCAGAACTGCAAGTATAAATTGAATTATTGATTCCAAGGAATTTCAACTAAATTCACTTAATATTAATACTATAAATACTATAAATATTTCAACAATTTAGATATTTCAGCTTTATACCAAATTTTGTATAAAGTGCAATGTTTTTCAATTTCACATTCGTCTGACTTTCCTATTGATTTTTCAGCTGAAATTTAGTGGGCATAAACTAGACTCGATGAAGAACATATTCAAAAAAAATCATCAAAAAATTCTACCGAAAGCACCTCTTATGTCCTTAGCTGAACGATGAGTCTTGTCAGACCGGACTGATATGAGTTGCCCTACATTTTCCATGTAGTAGGTACATTCTTTTTTCCTTTGCATTCAAGATTTTAAGATACGAAAGAAAAAATTAAAGTGGAACAAATACTCCGGTAGGAAAGAATTAAAGATTTTAGGAGTATTTTATTTCAAATTGGTGTTTGATCGAGTGAAACCGACCAAATAAATCGGGGTGACAACTCCGGTACCAATTTAAAAAATGGGGTACCGTATCGTATCTATCATTCACTTGATTACATCATTATGTCATTTTTAATTTAGATTTAAATAATTCAACTGCAATATTCTCATTGGTCCATGTGGACAAATGTATGATACCTTATGGGTACCATAGAATCTACCATAAATCGGAGGCTCTTCTGGAGAGGATTGCAATGCTTATTTACTTCGACGTAGGTTTGGATCGGTCCATTGTCCCTGACCAGTCGGGACCGGAACCTGCTAGTTCTCGGGGTTAGACCAGACCCGTTTTTCCCGATTCCGCCAAAGCTAGACTGATGCCCGTCCCGTTTAGTGATTTTGAGAAATGAAATCGACCAGTTCAATCTCAGTTCAATGTTCTTCTTTTTTACATTTTAAAGGTTTATAAGTATTTTAAAAGAGGTATAACTGTATAAATCTGATTTAAAAGCTAAAAAAGTGTTGGAGCGAGCCAGCGAGGTTAGGAGGATTTAAAAACATAAGAAAAATAAGAAAAATAAAAAATCGATGCAAGAACCCACTACTACGATATGATTTAAAATTGAGTCAATGCCTGAAATAGGACTAATGGCAAAGTTAATTGCACTAATAGGACTATAAACGAAGCCCAAGTTTCATAGGACCAATTTCAACTTAGTTGGACAAAAATAACCCTGTTTTAATTTTGTTTGATTTTGAAAATGAAAAATAAAAAACTGTTGAAACCCTAAATTGTAAAAAAGCTAGCAGTAGAATGCCAGAGTCGGAGCCGCCCGCCGCCGCCGACTGCCGCTACCCTCGCCGACGCCGTCGACAGCCACCGCCGCTGCAAACTGCCTCCACCGCCGACTGTCGTTCTGGTTGGGCCCCGCCGCATCCCTGCCGGCACATCGTTGCCATCCGTCGCCGCCCAAACAGCGTCGCCATCCGCCTCCGCCGCCGCCATCCTATCCTCGTCATTGTCGCCGGTGTTCAATCCAGGGCCACCACTTCATCCCCGAGCACCACCACCGTAGTAAATTTGCCATTAAGTTGGCAGATTCGACCTTGAAGAGTACTTACAAATCTCCCTTGAGAACAAATTTTCAGATCTGGCATAAATTTGGCATATTTATCTTCACTGATTTACACAAAACTGCCATAACCTTGGCAAAATATGAAGTCCACAACTAAATTTTCAAAAAACAAAAAAAAATAGAACAATAAATTTGGCAAAATCGTATATCATCATCCAAAAAGTGTTTTGCTATAATATGATTGTCAGAGTACATTTCTGCCATAAATTTGGCAAAATCGTATATCATCATCCAAAAATATACCATAAACTTGGCAAAATCGTATGTCATAGTCCAAAAATCTGGAAAACTGGTTTTCTTTTAAAATCAAGAAATCAGGAAACAGAAATTTGAAATAGAAGTCCAAAAATCCACAAATCGAATTTCAAAACTAAAAAATTAAGAAATCTTAAACAAAAAGTCAGAAAATACAAAACAAAATTCCTAAAATTGGCAAAATCAGTGTCAAAACCCAGGAAAACATAAGAATATGAGGAAAACTAGAATAATCAGTGGCAAATCTCATTTAAATAGAGGAATGGGAGAAGGAGGAGGGGAAGGAGGAGGAGATTGAAGAAGAAGAAGAAGAAGAAGAAGAGAAGGAGAAGAAGAAGAGAGGAAGAAAAAGAAGAGGAAACCTGGCATGTGACGGCGCATGGCGAAGTCGGTAGTGATGACAGCGGCCTGAGGCGGGAGAGTCGGCAGTGGCTGCAATGCACGAAGAAGATGGGATGGGGAGAAGATGGGATGCGGTTATATCTTTGGGGTGTGGAGAAGTAATCGTCGATCTATTAGTGAGAAATGGGAGAGAGAATGTGTAAATGGGTTCAAGGGCAAACCTGGGATGCTAATTTTCATGTTTTTAACGGTAGGAGTAAATTGATCCTGTTAAAGGAAGAAAACATATCAAGTTTTATTTTTGCATTTCACCTTTGTTTTAGTCCTATATGGGACAATATGGGACAATTACTTTTCAAAATTGTCCTTTATACATCACTTCGCTTGTTTAAAGTTTAAGAGTCATACCCAGCGGCGACATCGATCTAATAGTGGAGGACCTACATACGGGTGCATGGTGGGGGCACTATAGACTGTAGTAAAGATATACTCCGGACTTAGTAGAAACTATTTAAAAACAATATGATTTTAGTGTGTTTGTATATTAGGTCACGCACGCTATATTTTAGAGTTATAACCTTAAACCCGCACGGGTAGCTCAGTTGGTCGAGCGGTGGGAAAAATTGGACGTAGACCAAGGTTCGAATCCCGCAGCGGTCAAAAGGGGGTTTTCGAACCTGAAATAAGGCTGGCCCTCTGATGTGCACGGGTAGAGGCCTACTGGCGCTTTGCCGACTGA